ATATATATATATATATATATATATATATATTTAAATTATTATGTAATATACTTAATTGATATGAAAAATCTGTAATGAATTCATTTTATTATGTTGAATATGAATTGATGAATCTCAACATGGTATGAGTCTCATGAATAAATTTTGTAGTGATATGGTATAAATTGATGAATTTTAACATGATTTGAGTCTCGTGGATAGACTCTGTAGTGGCATGACATTAGTGTACAATTTGATGTCGAGGGTCCTGTTGTGGAGGTCATCCTAATACTTTAATAATTCTCCAGTCTCAAGTAGAGAAAGATGTGTTATGTGGTGAGAGTGACAGGAGGTCTTATCCTATGTTCAGTTGTGGCCATATGTATTGACGAACTAACCTTATGGATAACATATAGTATTGTATTTGGTCATGATTTTGTTGTACGAGGAGTAGAGGTCATCAGAAGTGCACGACCACCCGAGACTTCCATCAATGTTCTATCTTGATAATAGAGTCTAGTATAACGATTTGCATCTTACATAACTTTATTGTGAATGAGTTATGTGTAGTAATAGTATTATACCTCATTTTGAATAGTCTTTTGTATATTAGCTCACTCATACTTGTGTGTGTTTGTGCTAGAAAATTTATATTTGTGTGAAGATCGTATAACGTACGTGTTATAGGGAGTAGATGAGAGGATGACGTCTGAGCCTGTTCAAGTGAAGAGAGAGGCCGAAGAATAATAGAGAAGAAGTTCAAGTTATGTTTATGAGTGTTGTAGTTGAAATCTGAGTTTAAAAATATGTATCATATATGAAATCCTTTACATTTCCTTATGAATGACTATATAATGCTACAATATATGGACTATGAATTATCAAGTTAAAGAATTTGGAATGTCACGTCATGATGCAAAAAGAAAAAGAAAAAAGTGAGGCATTGGTATTGTTTCTTAAATTTTAAAAAGAAAATTGATTTCAGAATCCATCACAACAAACTTCAAAATAAAAATTGAAGTCATACTTAGTGTAATATGATGTTATTTAACGTTGATTGATCCTAGGACCAACGTGAATTTCCAATTTGACGTATGTGGTGAAGAGGTATGATGACCAACTAAGGAGGTCGATAGTAGAGACACAATAACCAGAAAAAGGCCTCAAGAAGAAGGAAGTGATCTGATTCTAAGAAAGGTTAGGGTGCAAGTGACAGTCTGAAGCAGGTTAAATATCTTAAAATCCTTCCTTTTTGTGCTTCTTCTAGAAATTTAAAGGTTAAATATCCCAACCCGGCTTCAGCTGCTACCTGTTGTGACTTTTGTGCTTCATGATGTTATTATTCTTATTAGGGAGACAGTTGTAGAAAAATACAACTGCCAAAACATGTTATCAGTGGTACTATGAACTTATTAGGGTTAGTGCTTTGAAAAGGTTGTCTGAAGTGGCTGATACATTATTTATGAAAATATGATAATTTATTATATTTTCTTATCAAACTAATACATTACAGTGCATATTTTTAGTTTATCTCTACTGTTGTCAGTTTTAAAGGTTTTTAATTCTTATTGCAGCAAGCCGTGTATTCTATGTTATAGAGTAAACAATTGATGTTTTTTATCTAGTGATTTGTATGTTTACTTTATTTACATTACTTTTGGATTTATGTTCAAGTTCTGGAACTCTGATTGTGTTTCAATATAATTTGAAATTTGGATTGTTTTAGTTTCATTTAAATTTTAGATTATATTATAATTGACTTGATTTGGATAGGGGTGAAAAAATGCAATGGAAGACACCAACATAAAAAATTAAAATAAAAAATCTATATGTATTATCCACGTACGGTGATTCGTATATATTACCATAAAAGTTGAGCAGTGGAAAATTATCCATGGATATTGGTTTGCATGTATTATCCACACAAGTTGCATAAGGAGAAATTAGCTATGGATGATAGTTATATGAAAAATCCTCTATTATGGTCACAATATCTAGTTGTTGCTGTTTTAAATGACTCTAGTTTATTCTGTATCGTTGTACTTGGTTTTACCTATGATTGTGTTACTCACATAAACATGAAATAATGTAGTTGTAGATCATGAACATAGGAGATTGATAAGATATATGTGAAATAAAGGGTATATAAGTCTGTAAATTTATATTTTGTTTTCAAAAACTATTACTATTTTGGGAGACTCTATTGAAATATATTGTTCCTGTGTGTGATGCTTTAATGTAGAACCTCTGCTATATATTATAATATATGACATGTTGGGTTGTTACAAATATCTTACTTTATTCGGTACCATTTTTGTTTGGTACAAATAAAGTCTCAGATAAGATAAAATAAGAAATAGACATGAGTTTATAGACAAATAAGATATCTCCCTTGTAAGAGGCTTTTTGAAGTAGTACCAAAAACAAATCTATGAGGTCTTAGCTAAAAACAGACAATATCTTACTAGTATGAAAATCTATAGATATATGTATATATTGAACCTACACAACAATTTTCAGCTTAAAAAAAATAATGATTCAGAATTTCACAAATATTTATCCTGCTACATTTAATATAAAGACATTCTTTAAATGTTTTGCTCTCTCTACATTCTGGGCCCAAAAATTCCCTTACTTGGGTTGGGTGGTGATGTCGGTCCATATTAAGCTAGACTTTATTTTTTTACACCCCATTGTTTCTACTTTCATAAGGTGTTGAAAAGATTTAAAATATTCTTTCTTTCAATGTTTAGATCGCGACATTTGAAAATATTTTTTAAATATATTATAGATTATGTAATCACGTAAGTTATAATATTTCAGTTACACAATATATGAAAACGTATTTGGTTCGATCTATAATAAATTATTAAATTTTGCAACTCAAAATACCTCTTTACTAATAAACGATTTAAATCTTGCCTACACTTATAGAGGTGCAAAAAGAAAGTAAGGGGTGTTAATAAGAAATTCGCAGCTAAGTAATAACGTTGTTGCGCAAATGCTTATTTTCAAACTTTTCTTTAGTTTCCTTAAAGATCAAATTCAATGCTATTGTCTATCGAAGATTTATTTTTACCAGTTCTGAGTTTATGCATCAGAGTTTACATTGACATGGATAGAAAAATGCAAATTTTTAAATTTCCATAACGAGGTTGATTTCTTGAATGTTTTCTAGAGTTTCTAATCAGTAGGGTTTTTATATTTCTTACAAATTTGGCAAGCCAAATGGTAAGAACTGTCTATATCACTTTGTAGAGAGAATGCAATTTGAATTTTGCAAGAGTACATGATGGGAATCTCTCTTCACAGTGAAATCAATAAGTTATCCTCATTTCAAAATAATTCTCTAAATCCAAAGCCCCATTCCTGTTATTCAGTTCTTGACGATGAGTGGCTCCTTTATGTCCTCCCACGCATTCAACCTCTTTTCTGCTTCCTCAACCTAATACACCAAAATTTCCATCACAAATTATTAACCGATTAATTACTGTCACATACAAACTCTACCAATTCTATAGCTTTTCTCTCACCTCTTTCTTCCAATCAGTTCTAAATGTGACCCACATCAAAATAATGGTTTGCAGAACCGTGCCACCAAGCATTCCCAACCATATTCCCTGCACATTCACGGGATTGAGTTATAAAATGGAAGATTTTGGTGAGAAAGATTAAATAACAGCATTGAGTTTGAAATAGAATATACCTTTGCATTGAGTTTGAAATAGAAACCCATTACAGAACCCAATGGAATGCCAATTCCGTAATAGCAACCGACGTTTACGTACGCAACAAAAGTTTGCCATCCACATCCAACAGCCACCCCTTTTCATAAACCATTCATGCATAAGTTTAAACAATTCTTAAAACTTATACTTTTAATTTAGGTATTTTTAGGTGAGAGTTGCAAGTGATGATACCAGACAAAACAGGCTGAATGCCGTTGAGAACAATGGAAAGGGCAAGGAGGGGACAAAGATCTGAGACTGCAGCAGCCACCTCTTCGCCTTCAGTGAAGGCATAGCTAAGGACATCTCTTAGCGACAAAATCACCACTGCTATAATAACTGATATTATGAAAGATATCACTGTCACCACCACCACAGAAAATGAAGCTGATTTTGGATTTCTTGCTCCTAGCTCGTTGCTCACTCTCACACTGCAGTGACATATAATAATCAAAACACACCCTTGTCTCATAATTGTTCTCAACAGAAAAGGTGAAAGCGAAAACGAAAGAATCAAATAATACAATTCAGTTGTAAATGAAGGAGAATCAAACCTTGCAGCTGCGTTAAATCCAACTGAGATCATGAAAACCCATCCGGACAGTGTGGTGCTGCAATAAGAAATGACTGTTAGTAATTGCAGAAAAGTAATCTTTTTTTTTTAGTTGTTTGAAATATTTTCATAAATAAATTATGTGGGTGCGATTGATTTCTATTTGCAAAATCTATTTTTAATTTTATAAATATAACTAAATTAAGGTATTTATGTGGTTGGTGGGTGGTGGGTGACGCATGAAATTTCAATGGTTATCCTGACAGTAATTATTTCTCAAACAGATTTTTCCCCTAAAAGCAGTAGAAAGGACAGCAATAATATATACAAACAAAG